AGCTGGATATTTTGGCTAGTATGAAATGTTTGTTATACTTAATGGTAGAACAAGCTGGATATTTTGGCTAGTATGAAATGTTTGTTATACTTAATGGTAGAACAAGCAGGATATTTTGGCCAGTATACAATGTTTGTTATACTTAATGGTAGAACAAGCAGGATATTTTGGCCAGTATGAAATGTTTGTTATACTTAATGGTAGAACAAGCAGGACATTTTGGCTATACAATGTTTGTTATACTTAATGGTAGAACAAGCTGGATATTTTGGCTAGTATACAATGTTTGTTATACTTAATGGTAGAACAAGCAGGACATTTTGGCTAGTATACAATGTTTGTTATACTTAATGGTAGAACAAGCAGGACATTTTGGCTAGTATACAATGTTTGTTGGTGTACAATGATTGTTTAGGTTTGTTCAATAGTATCCCTCAGTGGCTCAGCGGTAAGTCTGAAAGTTTATACACTAAAAACCAGGTTTAGATACCCGCGTTGGGCACAACAAAGATAGCCCATTGTGATTACAACCAGGCTATACACCTGCTTCTACAATATGCCGAGAAATGTTCTACTTTTGTATAGATTTCTTACTTCCAATGCTGGCTTATTCTGATAGAAATACAAATACTTACCGCAAGGTCTCACGTCTCTAAGAACCAATGTTTCGCCGAACACGTTACTCCAGAAAACCGTTAAAATTATCAGCTGTAAGAGCACGGCACGTGTTGCTCTAGTCATGACTGAGATCCTGCTTGAACGTGTGACACCGGAGTTCTTGCTTCAGGCCTAGATGTATCATATATTAGTACAGCAAATCCTTGTTAAACAGGTCCTCTACAAAGTGGAGACACAGGTGCACTACATCGACGGTGGGTTGACCAACCAGCGTCTCGCGAGTCACGTGCAGTGGTTGCCGAATGGCTTTCAAAGTTTATAATTTCTTTGTAGTTAAATTCGATTCTTTGTAGTTAGTTAAATGGACATTCCCCATCGACAACTTTGTTAAAACAGTTGCAGTGGTGTAGTTAGTTAGTTAAATTGACATTCCCCATCGACAACTTGACTGTTAAAACAGTTGCAGTGGTGTAGTTAGTTAGTTAAATTGACATTCCCCATCGACAACTTGACTGTTAAAACAGCTGTGGTGGTGTAGTTAGTTAGTTAAATTGACATTCCCCATCGACAACTTGACTGTTAAAACAGCTGTGGTGGTGTAGTTAGTTAGTTAAATTGACATTCCCCATCGACACTTGACTGTTAAAACAGCTGTGGTGATGTAGTTAGTTAGTTAAATTGACATTCCCCATCGATAATTTTACTGAGCCTTTGAAAAATTGTTTATGCCTGCACTACGCAATCACGTGCTTAGAACTTCACAGCATGCTAGTATCTTCACACTAAGTGGTCGGAAACATTTTGGTTTAAATAACATGTTTTAAGCTAATACGTGTTTAATACATAATTGTTTATATATGTTGTTAGGAATTATTATTAATAATTAACATTGTTAACGGAAGTTTGTTGAACATTAGTTCGAAATGGATTTCTTGTTGTATAATGTTTAGTGCTCCTAAAATTGTACGAGTTTTAGGCTTAGCTTCAAATAATGATCCTTGTAGTAACAATAAGTACTAGATGACTGACATACTTTAGTTGATGGTCCGTGAGCTCAAGATTAAAAGTGTTCGTGATTTTTTAATTTGGATTATTTTCTACTAAGACTATTCTAATTTCCAGAAGTTAAAACGAGAATTTAAACTCCTTGACTGTGATAAAATATACGACAGTCATAGCGATTTCTTTCCAGTTGAAACGATATTATTCTGAAGTTGTAAATGCAATGCTAGTTGTTAAGTTTCGATCGCTCCAGTATATGAAAATATAGTTAACCAGGCTTCCCGTTTTTGATGAATTAGGCTAGAAAACTTAGAATCAATGAAAAACAAACTTAATACTATTCTCCCGTTGATCAGGGGTACATTTACGAACTTACAACTCTAAAATCCGGGGTTCGGTTCTCTACGGAGGACAGAGCTTTGCGTTAAAACAAGAATAGCATAGTAACAACAAATATGTTTTATTTGGGAAGATGTGTGAAATGTATCTAGATCGGGAAGGGTTTTTGAAGCCACAACTTAAAGAGACGGATATTTTGGTGTAACGATAGCAAAATTCCAACTGGATCACGAACCCACAACTCTGTTTAGAATATTAGTACTTTATTTTAGTGTTTTTTACGTGTAAATCTATTACCTTCACTATCGTTAACTTCGTAATACAATTAATATTTTTTGTATGATATAATGCATTATTCAACTGTTTTTCCTAATATAATGTTTTCAAGTTTCATTCTCAGGCTTCGTTGACGATGAAATAAGTGTATTTCTTCGCAATTAATGATAATCGTTTCTTTGTTCTTCCTATTACACTTTTCGTCATACCTCTCATGCCCCCAGTGGCTTAGCGGTAAGTGTGCGAGGCTTACAACGCTAAAACTCGGGTTTTGATACCTGTGTTGGACAAGGCCCATTGTGTAGCTTTGTGCTTAACATCAAACAAGCCAAGTCCCTCTCAGTAGACAAAAAACAATTATTTATCCTTCAACAAAATATTATTTTGTTGAAGGATAAATAATAACTTAGGGAACAGATATTTTGTTGAAGGATAAATAATAATTTAGGGAACAGATATTTTGTTGAAGGATAAATAATAATTTAGGGAACAGCCCGTTCCCTCTTAATTCGTCCTTTTTCAAATAAATAGCTGATGTACCCGTTCAACGCACGGAAAAGACACTAGGGACCACTATGGCACTCACGGAATGGGAAGGCTAAGAATACATGCCAAGCTTAGTGACAATCGGTTCAGCGGTTCGACATTTGTAAGCGGATACACATACACACAGACTTTTGTCAAATATTGGTTTACATAAATATAAGATGATGACACAACGTTTCGACATGCGCAATGATTTATTTACATAAAGTGAAAAGCAGAAAAATATATGCTAACAAACTACATGTTTCCGTGAAACACGCTCCGATATTTTCAGAAGACAAGTAAGGCACATAAAGTTCGTTAGCAAATGTACGTGTACAATTTGCATCTTGTACAATGGCGCCATTTAGCTCCTTTAGGACCTAAATCTCTACTCAAAATCACTTTGTTTTTAACAGTTTCTAATGGTTCTCCCACGTTTAACTCGTGCATGTTGGTGTCGCCATCTTATTTTTATTGAAACTTTGCTGTCAGCCTAACGTATTGAATGGTCTAGATCAGTGGTTACCAACCTAAGGTACCCGGACCCCTGGGGGGTCCGCGTAGGTAATACCATCTCATTAAACAAGTAAGTCTTTTAA